TGCCCCACCTCCACTCTTTCTCTGCCTGCCTCTCTGCCTACTTGTGATCTCTGTCTGTCAAATAAATAAATAAAATCTTAAAAAAAAAAAAGAAATTGCTTACATCTTAAGCTATTTTCTGATACTTCCCAACCATGGAGCTATGAATATTTTGCCTACCTATAAGATCTGATTATATATATATATATATATAAAATTATACTCTATTTGTTTATTTGAAATAACAAATATTCATTTATATTATTTGCCAAATCCATAATCTATTATAGAAGTATAAAGAAACAATGTCCAAATACAGTGTATTTTATGATAAAACTCTTTTCTGCTTATAGATATCTTATTTTTAAGTAAAGCACGTTTTTCTGGAATCCGTTTCTGATCATTCAAAAGTTGAATAATAAATACTTAAAATAGAAAAAAATCTTTTACATGGATTTCACTTGTGTCACTGTCACTGAATAAAATAGAAAAGACAATGTTTTTCGTTTGGATACAATCATCCTCAAAGGCAAATACATGTAGTTATTATTGCAGGTATAGGAAGTGGGTTGGTCAATCTACTACTTCTTAGCTGATAGCGGCAGTAATCTGTGGCAGTGAGTTGAACTGAAAACATGTCAAAAATAGAGTAATTACAGCTAAGTTTATTTTACTGGTAGCCAGTGCGCAAAATAAAAGGGCATTAATAATGCTGACCTCATCACTTTTGCATTTGTCTAACAAGAATGAAGTATTTTAAGTCACCATTATATCAATTTTGGATTTGTGTATTTTTTTTTAGATTACATTTTCTTTAGGGATTTGTTTTACATGCGTATAAAAGGTCAAGAAAGAAGGTGCAAGAACTGTTTCTATTCATGCTAATGTTCGTATCAGACTCAGGGTTGATTTCTGATGTATGTTTGGGTTGCTTTTCCCATGCATATCCTCTTGACAAGGATTGTAGACCTTGCTAAGTGGCTCTGAACCCTGAAGTATATCATGTGACCTTTCTTTGTGGCCAAAGTTGCATCACTAGTCCTCTTTTCTCTTTCTAGTTTGCTTCCTAACTTCACCGGTCTGCTCGAGGTTCCACCTAAGAGAGCATGGAGGTAACTTCAAATTCATTGTGTTCTGGAGTAAAGAATGTGGCTGGACTTTGTCCCAAGCCAAGTGATAGATGTGTCTTTGTTCCTTCTGGTGGGCCTTTTGAGCCGCACCTGGGTTTATGCTAATAAGATAACCCCTGGAATGCCTTTAGATAGTTTATGCCAACCCAGTGAGCCAGAATGGGGGCTGGCCACGCAGGAAAGACCAACCATGTAAGTAGAAGTTTCAGTCCTGTGACATCAGCCTGATCTCCAGGGAGGGGAAGGAGGTTCAAGATTAAGTTCAATTTTATAGCCAGTGATTCTGTCAGTCATGCCTCTGTAATGAAACGTCAATAAAAAATCATGTAAAATGATGCTCAGTTCAGCCTCCTGAGCTGCTGACACTCATTGATATCCTGAGAGGGTGATACATCTTGAGGACACAGAAGCTTTACGAGTGGGAAGCTCCCACATCTTCCTGCATGTTTCTTCATAGAGCTCATTCTGATTTTTATCCTTTACATCTAGTGCTTTCCAGAATTCACTAGAATGATTTCTAATGAATTATCAAACCTGAAGGAATAGTGCACAGCTCCAAATTTGAGCCACTCGGCCCCATGGATGGGTGGCCTGGGAACCCTAGAGCTTATGGCTGAAGGGAGAGCAGTCTTGTGGGGGACTGTGCCCTTAACCTTTGAAGTTTGACTGAATTTGGATTGTTAGCATCAGAACTGCGTTTCACATTCTTTAAATCCTGAAGCACAATCTCCTTTAATAGCCAACCAATGTATGAATGTGGAACTTTCTGTTTCTCTTCCCACATTTTCCACATTTTCCACCATTCAGCCCAGTTTCTTCTTCCTTTGTATCATCTTTCAGAGGCATCTCCTTTAGTTCGTGTTTTGCTGTCACACGTGTATCCCTTTTTGCTTGGGCTAGTTCACTACAACTTAAGCTGGTCTATCCTTGTTCCATTCTTTTCTGTATTGTTAGTCGAATGTATCTCTCTTCCCCTCTCTTCAAGATCCAACACCTTTATCAGAGATCATCTGTTTAGTGCCCGCTGCAAAAACCCCTCACATGGCAGGCAATCATTTATTTGTTTAATAAATATGTCCTTGCTGTTCAAACTCTATTGCTCCAAGGAACCCTACAACTTGGTTCCGACACATCTCTTCAGTTCTGTTTTTCTTACTTCCATAAATTAATCCCTTGTTCCAACCCAGTTGTTTGCTCCCAAATAATATGGGCCCATCTCCATTCCACTGAACCACCTGCCTGTCTGAAATGCTCCTTTTCCTTCACCAATTGTCTAAGCACCACCTCCAGGAGCCTTCATGGTCTCCATTCCTTAGGGAGGGCTCTCACCTCTGAGTTCTCTTAGCACACCCTGTAGGCCTATTGTGTGTATTGTATGCAGTTCTCACTTAGCTCTTTGTCTGGACCACTTGGGATTTTACATTATTCCAGGTTCTTTTAAAAAACATACCACAGTCTTGGGGTGCCTGGGTGGCTCAGTCAGTCAAGCCGTTGCCTTAGGCTCAAGTAGTGATCCCAGGGTCCTGGGATGGAGCCCCACATCAGTCTCTTTGCTCAGCAGGGTGTCTGCTTCTCCTCTGCCTACCATTGCCCCTGCTTATGCTTGTTCTCTGGCTTTTGCTCACTCGATCTCTCTGTGTCAAATAAATAAAATCTTTAAAAAATAAATAAATAAAATAAAATAAAAATAAAAACCATACCATGATCTTTTGAAAACAGGCAAATGTAAGATAATTTTTTGTGATCTCGAGGACTAATATATGTAAAAGGTGCATCAAATTTCCAGTTTGTTGACAGACTTTTCTTTTATTCTGTCTAATTAGTGTAAGCAGTCAAGCCTGATTTATAAAAACAATGAAGATAGGGAAAATACCTTAGCTACTAATTCTACAGCTATTCTAATCAACCCCGTATTTTCATATCTGAAACTTTAGAGGTAGTATTGTTCCATACTGTCCTCCTTGTAGCCGGAATTATGGAGAATTTGTTTATTGTCCTTCAGTAGGGCATGTGTGATTTTTCACTTATTTGCTCTAATCTGAATTTTTCTCACCTGAATCTTCAAAGTCAACAAAGGCTCACATTTTCCACCATAGAATGAAGCAAAAAATGCACGTACAAGCATAATAGGGCAGCCCTCACAGGTTTCAAGCAGGGAAGAAACTAAGCCCCAAACTGTATTTAAATAATATAGTCTTTTTAGGGAGTTTTGCAGTCCTTACTTTGGCATATCTTCTTAAATCACCTGCATGCCCATATATAATTAAAGACTAAATATTGGCAATCTTTGTTATTTTGTAGCAATGTGAAGAAAAACAAGATTCAGTTATCACTAATCAAGAAGGATGCACAATTCAACATTCATTCAATAGAGACCTGCCTTAGGAAGAAATGGCCTTTTGTCAGCAAAACACAACTTTTTACAAAAAAATCAAAACTGAAGTTGACTGCAGGGAGTTGACTAAGTTTACTTTGGGGCAAATGGGTCCTGGGGTCTGTATTTGTTTTATAGAGGTTTATATATTCTGAAACAGACAGATCAATAATAATATTGAAAAACTAGGGTATTATAAAGCTGAATTTTAAAGTATAGCACATCTAATCTGTAAATAGAGATGAATGTGTTTGGAAATAAAGAGAAAGGGAATAGTGAAAGCTTACTTCTCTGAAAAATGTTGATGTTAGATGTATTAGATCTAAATTTATTAGATAAATTTCAAATTTCCTTATAAGATTCCACATTATTTTTACTTACTGTCAGTAGAAGTACATTTTTACAGATCTTGCTTGGTCAAATATAATCTTGTAGTAATTCCATATTCCTACACCTGACTTAATGGTTTCTCTCAGATAGTTCTTTCAACAATTTACACATTAATGGGTCAGTACACATTTAAAAACACTCAGTGGGGAATTTGAAAATTAACTCCTATTAACTCAAAGGGATAGCAGAATTATGTACTGATATAATGGTCTTGTAGAGAGCAAGATGGAATCACTCATGTCAACAGGGGCCCGTGTCAGGTGATAATGTAGGTAGTTAAGGATACTGCAGCTACGAATTATCCCCAAGACCAGCCCCAGCTGATGACACCCCAGAACTAATAGCAAGCAGAAAGGCAGAGGAGGTTCGCAGGGGCCCAAGACTGATTAAATCCCCTTTAAAAGGGGAGGATTTTTATAGCAAACTGTCAGCCTCTTCAGACATGACATCTCTTTGTATGACCACTTTGAAAAGGCAGCTGCCACCAAAGGCTATGCCCGACTGATCTCTGAATAGAACCGAGATCCTTCACTGCTTGAACATAATAAGCAGTAAGTGCCGAGAGCTGACCCAGACCGGAGTGAGGCCTTATTTCAACTGTGCGCCCAATGAGCAGTGTTTGGTCTGTTAAACCTCCTTCCCCCGTGTATCTTATTTGTTGTGTGACTTGTCCTGTGTTCTGCTCTGTGTGCCATGTAAGAAGCCCAAGTTAATCACATGGTGAAATGTCAATGAGTTTGGAATCCCGAACCTGCTTTGTAATTATGTTAACTTTGTTTTATGACTGAATGAAGCTGACATTGTGGAAATACATAATTTGTGTGTGCCTTCATAGCGTGCTCATGACAGGTCTATGAAATGAGACAGTGACTGAAAATTTCAGTTGTTTTTACATTCTTACTCCTGCCTTTTGAATTCTTTGTTAAGCATTATAATGAGCTGGTAAGAATTCAGACTAGTAGAAAGAAACAGGTATGTACATATTTTAGACACTTGTTTATTTTCAAATTATACAGATGTACGATAGGGTCTGATAGCTGAAGATCATGCTTGTACCAAAGTTGATTTCAAGGATGAGAGGCAGAGCAAAACCATGGGTGAAAGACTGCTTCCTGGTGAGGGCCCAGAGCTCCAACTATTGAAGGTTCCAGTGTCTTCTGAAGTGAGCAGGACTGTCTCTCAAGGAAAGTACCTAGAACCAAACCAGAGGTATATGATTGAGGAAAGCTTTCTTGGGAAATTTGTCACATACAATAAAGGGTTGTATTATGGCAACAGTACAGCGTCTGCTTACAGAGCAGAGTAAATTCTGGCAACAATACAGCGTCTACTTACAGAGCAGAATAAATTCTGAACGGATGTCTGCAATGAAGAAGTGCAGAATGGGTACCAGTGGAGCTGGTTTTCTGTTTTAGGGGTCCTTGGACTTTGGGCAAGAGGAGAGTGGCCAGGAGGCAATGTCAACAGTGATAAGCAGGGAAAGATTATATCATATCACTAAAAGGAAAGACCTGGACACATCTGGGTGTCTTAGTCAGTTAAGTGTCTGCCTTTAGTGCCGGTCATGATCCCAGGGTCCTGGGATCGAGCCCCACATCGGGCTCCCTGCTTCACAGGGAGCCTGATTCTCCTTCTGCCTATCCCCCTCTGTTCTCTCTCTCTCTCTGACAAATAAATGAATAAAATCTTTAAATAAATAAATAAATAAAAGGGAAGAGCAAGGCTCTATGTATGAGGGATAGAAACTGTTGCAAAGAATGACATATTGGAGTTCAGTGCACATATCTAGGGCTGAGTTGAGTGTTAGAGGCTTATGTCAGGATTCTGCATATGTTACCTATTTGTCTTTTTTGGTTTGGTGACTTTTTAGACTCCAGTGATTTTTAGACTCTATTGCTTTAGAAACAAATTATTTTGAGTTGGAAGCTAAAGTTGTATCTCTCCCTTTCTTTGATGAACATTTCATTATTTCCAAAGAAGTTCAATTTGATCCAAGTTTAGAAGGTAAGAGAAAGACAAAGAAAGAGATAGAGATAAAGGCAGCATTTTACTTAAAAGAGACACATCAGTAAGTTTTTGGAATGAGAAATATAGTCCCTAACTTAGGAAATGTCTTTCTTTCTGTAATCATTTTTCAGCATTTCCTTCGGCAGGTATTAGAGTTATAAAGATGAATAGGACATGTTTCTGCCCATTAGAAACTTACATCCTAATGGGTGATGCAGACATATAAGCAAAAAATGACCATACATTCCATTTTCTGATGGATTTGCTGGAAGTACTCTGAGAGGAGAGGTGTACCTAACCCACACTAGGGACAAAGGGGAAGGGTCAGAAAATATTTTCAAGACAGTAGTGGCTGAACTAAATTTAACCATCAAATATATGTGCTCAGGAATTTGTGTACAAGGCTATCTACTGAGTTGTGACAATAAATATATCAGTGGCATTCAAATATGAGTTAGTATTAGACCTGAAATGCAAACTAGGGAATTTTTATTTGATAGAAATGGGAGATCACTTAAGTTTTTAAGTTGGGAGGAATGATATGGCAGAAATACTTCTCAAGCTTTCAGTCAGTAGGGCAATTAGGTGAAAGGGGATTGGAGGAAGAGAGGGAAGCAATGTCAACCACTTACATGTGAAACAGTGGAGATCTGAATCTCAGATGATGGTTGTGGGGAAAACACAAATTGTCAGCATGTGAGTCTGCATTCTGAGTGTATTTCAAATGTTTTTTCCTCAAGAATGGGCATTTGATTGAAACTGGAGGAGAGAAGAAAGCCATAAATCAATCAACAAGACAACCCAACTGATAACTGGTTTGAAGACTGAAACTCTCTGAAGATATAAATAGAAAATTTGAAAGAGACATGGAAATAGATGAAATGGAGAAGGTCAAAGTTTGTTCCCAGATGCAGCTATCAATGTCCTCTTATATGCCCATTTCTTTCTTTCACAGGGCTGCTGTTGTTTTTTTCAGCATGATGAAAATGTTCTGAAAGAAAATGGGAATGGCTAAGTGTGTGAAAAGATTTGCACCAAGCAACATGAGTTTAGCCAACAGAAATTTGCGACTTGAGATAAATTTTAATATACTTGGTAATTGGTAACTATTATTTTAATACCAAATGATCTTTAGGAAAAAAAATGTGTCATATGGTACTTGGAATGGTCCTACTATGAGAAGGAAGCCCACTCAAAATAATTTATCATGATAAATATCATGGAGAAATAGAGGAAGGAAATACTTAATGAATGCTTATGATATTCCAGATATTGTGCTAGGTGCTTTGTTAGAACAAAATATTTCTCAAATTAGAATGTGTACATATTTCATTTTATCATTTTAGTTAGAAAGTTTGATGGAATGATATTAGTCCTCCTAAGAAGATTATAGCATAGACAATTTTGAAAAATAGTTTGGATACAAAAAGTAAATGTTCAGATCCATTTAAAAACATTCAGGCAAATGATTGTGAATGGTATATTCTTGATTATATGTATTTTCTACCTCCATTTATATGTAGCTATATTTGTTGGCACCTATGTTTTAGGGTCAGTCCCTATGAGGCTGGCAAACGCTGATCTCCCCATTGGTAGAAGCTGCTTTCTGACAGGGCTGTTGTCCTTCAGTATGGATTGCATCAAAATCATCACTGCCACTAAAAAATTTTAAAAGTAGGTATCTTACAGATCTCAATTTGAAATAATCGTCTCCATATGTGAAGGAGTTTCACAAATTTATATTTGTGAAAATATAAATGAAAGCTAATATTCTCCTTCTTTAAACATTCTAATTTATCTGAGTTATCTTTTTTGAAGTATTCATGATTTGAGGTAAAAAAAAAATTGTACTGAATAAAAGCCTACTTAGAACAAAATAGATTACCCTTTGATATTGAGTGTAGCAACCTAGTATTTGAGAAAAACAGAACTTCACAAAAGCTTAATATATTCAGAATTTGACAAAGCGTGACCCATTTACTGAAGCAGAAAATGCACCACAGGTTTTTCTGTGTTTCTTTTTTTTTTTTTTTCCCAAAAGCAGATAAACCATATTTATCAGTGAAATAAAAGAACTGCTTCTAGACTTACTTATTTGGGAGAAAATTAGGAAAGAAATAGAGGGAGAAAAAAACAAGAATTTTGACTCAGAAGATATTCCCCAAATAAAATATGGTAGGTTTTAAAGATTTCATAGGAATTTCAAAATGGGGGGATAGTTAATGATTTAGGTGTAAAAAGATACTAATAGTTATTGCAGCTTCCTTGAAGCCCTGCAGATTCCGTGAGGATATTGAACTGTTTACAGAAGCCATATGTTCATGTTACCATTTTTCATAGGAAATTTCTGAGATTTTTGTCAGGATTTTAAATATACTGGCAAAAGGATACAAAACCTTACTCTGACTTATTTAGTCTCCTAAATATTCATCTTAGTGATAGCAGTTTTTACATTTTCTGTATTACTAGTTTAATTGTCTTTCCTCTCCATACACCAATTTAATTGTTGATTCCTTGAAAATGGGGAGTTTCGTCTTACACACCCTCACATGGCCTGTCCCTGTACTGCATTTAATACAAAGCAGCTGTATCAACAAATGTTTGTCAACTGTAAGATCGAGGAAATAAAAATGAGAGTCCATGGACATTTATTCATAAAAAAGAGTAAATATGAACATGTAGATTGAGATATTTTTGTATTAAACAAGCACTTAAAATAGACAAATACAACCACTGATTATGTTTAAATATTTTCTTCTTCCAAAAAGAACTTAACATAAAAGAAAACTCATTTCATTTATCTCATTTAACAATTTTATGAAATACTGAAAAAGCATGTAATTGTAATTAATATTAATTAATATTAATTAATTAATATTCCTTTAACAATCCAAAGTAATGAATGTTATGTTGATAAGCTAGGGGACTGACAGAGATTTCACTTCTCAGCCTTATTTTTAGACTTTTGGACCATTTAGATTTTTTTTTTTTTTTTCCAGATTGATACTTTAAGCCAAAGTCAGAAGTGGGACTACAAGTGAATTTTTTTTTTTTTAATTAAAAAAAATTTTTTTTTTAAATTTATTTGACAGAGACACAGAGAGAAAGGGAACACAAGCAGGGGGAGCAGAGGAGGGAGAAGCAGCTTCCTGCCCAGCAGGGAGCCTGATGCAGGGCTCAATTCCAGGGTTCTGGGATCAGGATCTGAGCCAAAGGCTGTGGCTTAATGACTGAGCCACTCAGGTGCCCCTACAACTGAGTTTTCTAACAGTGTGGGTAAATTTTAAAAGATACAGAAGGATTAAAAAAGTCTTTTGGTGTGTTGGGAGAGAGTCTTTTATTTTAAATGCAGTTCCTTTATTCATTACAATTACTCCCAATGGCCTGATGGAACAGACCAGATGTGGCTGGAATGAGTTGAGTCCACAGTGCTGCAGATGAAATTTAAAAAAAAAAAAAAAAAAAAAATTGGAAATCCCTTTTGGGACCCTTGAAAACCATTTCTAGTCTAAAGCTACAGGGCAGAAATGATCAATAATGGTGGCCATTTGGCTCATTCATTTCTTTTAATGAACACACTCACAACTCACTAAGAGCATTCTTACAGGACTGGGATGGATTTCAATTCTCTGGTGATTGACAGAAATAGAGCCTTTGATAAAAACCTAGAGGGAGTAGCACTGCGCCCCACCATTCTTTCCTTCCCCTCATTTTTACAACGCAGTCCTGTTTCACTCAGAAAAATATGTCATCTTGGTACAGACTGACAAGCAGTTGATCAGCAGCTATTAGCAAAATTCTCCCCATGATTCTTAATGCAGTTTATTTTAGGAAAGAATCCCAAAACTGTGGATGCATTTCAAATAGGTAAAGTCTAGTAAATGCAGGAATAAAGGCCTCAAGAAAAAATGGGCACTGAGCTGGTTTAATCATTTTATTAATATTCAGTAGGATCATTTCCATTTCTGTAGTCATTGCCCCAGTTCAAGTAAGCATTAATTTGTATCTAATAAAGTGCCATTAATACTGAGGATCCTTATAAATTGCTTTTGATAAATGAACAACATCTGGATTATTGCATCAGTCTCTTAACTTGTCTCACTTATTCAAGTTTCTTCCAATTATTACCTACTTTATATCTAACTGCCAGGAAGAAAAACTCTCTCTTGAATTTCCACCAATATTTAATTCCCTGCTTATTATGAAACTAGAGTTTGCTTATTCAAAACTCTTGTGCTTGAGATTGATTTTTTTTTTTTTTCACTGATTTCCCAAGATCTTCATTTCTTCCTATCAGTTAATCTCTTAGGACTTCAGTGCATCCATATTCTTCAAAAAAGTGCATTTTAATTTTCTGGTGTCATCATTTCTAATATGTAAGTTTAAGAATTTCTAAAATAAAAATACTAGCCTGTTGGCAAACAAAGACTAGAAAGTCTCTGTGATTTCAGAAAATGCCCCTTTCTTGGATCTAAGTCAGAGGTGACTTGGTTAAGGATGGAAAGAGCTGTGCGGGTGAGGGGGGAGTGATGATTTTCTGGGCCTTTCTCTTTGTTGCTTCCTTGTCTCCCTATTTGTAATACCATATTGTGTATACATGAGAGGTTTTGATATTCAAAGATGTAGTAACTATTTTCAGAGCAAATGAGCAGTTCAGTATGAATCAGGAGTAAGTTTACAAAGTACGTATTTTAACCCTTTAGATGGGGTTTTCTGAAGTTCAAGTACAACAGTTGCATATCACAGAGAATTGAATTATGTCTTGTCTTCACAAATCTTGTCCTCATATTTTATGTTTCATGAAGATAAACTTAGATCAAAACTCTCTAAAGGCATGAGAAAAATGAGGAGACTTTCAAAAGTCTGGTTGAATGGTGCAGACCTTAATGTGCATAAATATTAATTTTAGCAGACAAATTTCTGTGCCAGGCCTTGGAATTTTAATTGAATACTTTTTATCAGCAAGATTATGTAAATGCTTGGATTCATAGTTTCTATGTCACTGAGGAATTATTTTTGAGAATAATGTCATCTTTGCCTTTATAACTCTGCATCATCAGTTAGAACTTTCCACTTCAAGGAATCCTAGAGAATCTGGGCACATCTGCCAATCAGCTCTGTCATGAAGTGTCAACTCTATTATGAGAAAACAATTTCAACTACAATTTGCAAGATCAAATATAGAAGCAAGCTATTGAATTTACTTCTTCACTTGTTTTTCCTCTCATCCTGTGTTGGGAAATACATCTCCCACAAATACATTCTCCAATTTCTGCCGAATTATGTCCTTAACTGAGTCCCACACCTAAAATGGACTTTCTCAATTGCCCAGATCATTCTGCCCAGAACTGCCATTTTAACATTTCCAAATGATGCTTTATCCATTTCACTTGTATTTCCATTGGCATCCCTACAAAATGAAAAACAATCTATTTTATACAATCAAGGATCTCCGTGATACGATTGCTTTTTAAACTTGCTCAGTTTTTCTCTATTAACTACCTTCTGAACACTGAATGCTACACATGACTCTGGAACATAATTTATGCTTATTCACTTGGCTTCCCATCTCCAGTTTGGCCACTATCTCACGATCTTCTCCACTTCTGAAATACTCTTCTCAGCCTACTTCTACCAGCCCCCCTACCCTCTGTGGACTTTCCTTGATTTCCCCAACCATGAGTTCTCTTCATTTACAAAATGCACTTTTCATCTACTACAGTGGTTAAAAACTACAGGTGATTTTTCACTCAGTCTATAGATATGGGCAATGTCTGCAGATATTTTTGGTTGTCACTAGTGAGAAGGTGCTATTGCCATCTCCTGGTTAGAAGTCAGGGATGGTACTAAACATCCCACAATATATAAGACAGCTCCCCACCACTAAGAATGATCTGATCCAAAACGTCGATAGTGCTGCGGTTTAAAAAAAAAAAAAAAGCCTAATTTAATACCTCTATCTCAATCCTTCCCATAATTTTACTTGAATATGTTTATCTTTAGTCATCGGTATTAGGATATAAGCCTCTAGAATAGCGGGACCACACTTTATGCAGAATTATATTTCCACAAAAGTCTAGCACAAACTCTGGTATATACGGGCGCTCAAAAACATTTTAAAATCTATGTAAAATTGATATCTGGAATAAGCATGCAAGAAGAAAACACTTACCAATCAAGCTACATTAAGTTCAATATACACTTTCTTTGAAGGCTTTGAAAATTCATCTATCATTTGAAGATCTCTTAATGATGAAAATCAACTGGCATTATGGCTGGTAAAGAGAGAACGTGTGGGTCAGTATGTATCTATTGTTGATAAGAGACATATTACAAACTTCACTTTATTTTCATTGTAGATGAAAAATGAGGCTGAGGTTTTCAGGGTTGGTATACCTATCCTTAATAGATATCTTCTATTTCTCCTATAGTAGATTTGTTGAGTTCTTGTTGTTATTGTCATATACTATGCCACAAACAATTAATCCTTGTTTCATGAAGGTTTCTCAGCTGCTGGGTAGTCTGTGCTGGTTAAATCAGCTTCAATTTGTTTGTATTCCTCTAAGTGGAGCATCTAGCTGTTGGGCAAAATAAAACATTAAATTACCTTGCCAACTGGCTATGAATATTTGAAAATGATTGGTATTGGAATACATAAGCAGTTTTTTAAGCTTCCTTATGAAATGAGCTGATGCATTTTGCTTACTAATGGAATATCTATGTTTACATCATGTCCAACAGTCTCTGACATATGAAAAAATGAATGGAGGTGATGGTTCCCTGCTTTAAAGAACAAGTTTAAGCAATATGCCTGCCATTCAAGGTCTTCCCAGATCTGCCCCTACTTACCTGTGTTTCTTTCAGAAATGTCCTGCTTTAGCTGAATCATCTCATTTATAATCTCTTGAATGTATCTCTTACTTCCTTTACCTCTAAGGTTTGTTCTTCTTCTTCTTCTTTTTTTTTTTCACCCTCAAGTTTCTCAATCATAGGATGCAGTTCTCTTATGCTTCTGAATTGCTGGCTGTTCTAAACCATCCATGTCACATGCCAGCTTCCCTAAAAAGAATCCCTTTATCTTCTAAATCATGCCTTTGCCTTTAAAACATAGCATCTTCTACAACTCAGTTAACTTCTACTGACATGTTGTTGTCATTATATTTATGCATTATTATTTTTCATTTTCATTCAGATTGTAAAGTCCTAGCATTAGGGACAATGATTTACAGACAACTTTGAATATACTCAGCACCAGTATACTGTCCTGTATGTAGTAATTGTTTATTATACAATAGTTGAATAGATGTTGAATGAATTACGGTTTTGCTTTAGGAGTAGAAAATATGTGGCAACCTGGCTATAAAATATGAAATGAAATTGGTTTTTCCAATAAACAAATGTCAAGAGTAAATGAAGGGAGGACTGTTATGGACATAATATCCAAAAGTGATGTGTGAATCTTGTTTGAAAATTGATTTGAACATACTAACTGTAAAGGAACATCTTTGACATAATTGGAGAAATATATAGATAGAATGGGTAATGGATGATATTAAGGATTTGTGGTATGACAGGAGTATGTTCATTATGTCAGAAACAGTTTTTTACAAGTTAGAAATGCATACTGAATTATTTACAAACAACATGTTTGATATTTGATTTAAAATATTCCAATAAAAAAGTACTAAGTATAATTTTAAAAACTTGGCAACAATTGGCAAAATATTGATAATCACTGAAGCACAGTGAAAGTTACACAGTGTTCATTATACTTTTTCACTCTAGCTCAGTTTAAGTTTAAATATTTCCCCTGAAAGTTCAGGTAGATACATAAATTGCTTTGGAAGAATCACCTTTCAGTCATCCTCATGGTAAGAGAGTAATCTTTCAGTCATATTACATATTTATTCTATGGGACTCCAGTGCCTTGGATAAAATTTCATTATAAATGTTTAGACCAACACTTAGGAGCCAACTCACCATGTGAGAACACTGCATTAGTTGTATAATGCCCTACTCTTCTGTATGATACAGAAGACTACTGGGTGCTTAGTGAGTCAGTCTGGCTTTTTGCTCTTCTCTAAAGGCCCTCTTTTTATTATTCATAACTGTCTGGCTTGAAGGAGATTAGTGTCAACTAGTAGCCAGTCACTGACCCCAAATGACTTACTCTCTTATCCCAAGAATGACCAACAGCTCTGTAAAAAGCAAAGAATAATTTTTTATCTTTGCTAGCTGAACTGCATCCACTCATCATTAATGCCGTGGAAGAGAAATGATATGAAGAAAACTTTAATAGACACACCAGGGATCAGGTAAGTTGATGCAGAAGCTGGGGACATTATCAAGCAGTAAATGCTAAAGAAAGATGGTGAAGAGAGAACACAGATGAATTTGTGACTTCAATAGTAGACTTGGTATTGTCAACTCTTTCCCTCATACTCATTATTGTCTTTCCATCTTGGCTGCCACTTTCCTAGACAAGTTCCTCTGTACAGCTCCTCAAGTAAAGATCCAAAAGCTGTCAACCTTGGTTATCTCCAAAAGCATGCCCCAAACCACCCCCCAAAGCATAAAATCTAAGTTATAGTCTTGTGCTTGATAAAGAAACACGACTTCCAAAAGAGCCCTTTACCCTCCCAGCTTTCACTCCTGTTATGCCCACCTGTCTGTCCATCTCTCTCTTCCTTCTTTCCTGCCTTCCTTCCTGCCTTCCTTCTTTTCTTTCTTTTTAATTTTTTAAAATTATTTTTTAAACTATTTTTATTAACATGTAATGTATTATTTGCCCCAGGGGTACAGGTCTGGGAATCATCAGGCTTACATATTTCACAGCACTCACCATAGCACATACCCTCCCCAATGTCCATAACTCAACCACCCTCTCCCTACCCACCCCACCCCGCAGCAACCCTTAGTTTGTTTTGTGAGATTAAGAGTCTTTTATGAGAGAGAGAGTGAGCAAAAGAGAGACCACATGAGCAGGGGCAGAGGGAGAGGGAGAAGCAGAATCCCCACTGAGCAGGGACCATGATGTGGGACTTGGTCCCAGGACCTTGGGATTATGACCTGAGCTGTAGGCAGATGCTTAATGGAGTGAGCCGCCCAGATGCCCCTATGTCCTTCTCTCTATTGACAGCAGTGTACCTCCCTTTCCCTGTGGGTTACTTCAGCATCTTTCCTGGTGGTCTTTTTGCTCTAATCTTTTCCTCCTCAACACACACTATTGGATAGTTCCAGATTAAGCTTCCTAAAATATGGCACTTCCCATACGAATCCCATGTTCAAAAACTTGCAGTGACTTACCATTGCCTATTACATAAAAGCCCATTTTTGTTCACTCAGCATTCCAGGCTTCACCAATCTGTCTAGTTTACATTCTCAGTGTAACTTCTTTTAAGCACTTGAACCTGTAAATCAACAGAACTAATTGTACTTCCCTGAAAATACACTGTTGGGTCTCCATTCTGTGGTTTATTAATGTTCTAATTACTTACAGCCTCTCTTTCCATACATATCTACTTGAGACCTTCCAATTCTTCTTCCATCATTGTGTAGCACTGCAGTCTTTCCTGTCTCTGTCAGAATCCACCACTTTCTCCCTAAGATTCTACAGCTCTTCATGTGTATCTTACACGGACCATTTCCTCTCACTGGTATTATAACCTGGTATAAGCTTCAGTTCTCCAATCACAAGCTTTTGAGAACACAACTTACTCATTTCACCTTTGTATCCCTAGTCTCTGGCACAGTGGTCTGTGTTTAGGATATGTGTAGTAAATATTGGTTAAAAAGCTGGTAGTAGGAATACTAAAAATTCTATGCAAAAGTAGAAGTCAAGGCAAAGCAGTGTTTTCACACATTTAAACATTATGGTGTTTAAATTCTAATTATCAAATAAATTATCACCATTTACTTGAGGCTATCCCAGGCGTTAGGCTAAGTGCATCTTCGCATTGTCACATTTAATCCTCTCAGTTTAATAACTGTCTAGATGAGAAAATTGAGACTTAGAGAGATTGGGTAACTTCTCTGTACATGGTCTATCTGATTCAAAACCAGGTCTGCTTGCAATGAGACCTAGTCATTTTTCTATTATCATGCCTGGGAAGCCCTGGGGTTTAGCAGATATAACTCAAAAGACACCTCAAGAGATTGAAAAAAAAAAAAAGACTCAAACAGAAGATAATTCCCTCTACCCATCCCTTACTTCAGTAACAGACGCTTATCTTTGTTTTTGTTTTTTTTTTAGTGAACTTTTTAATTTTCTATTTTTGTCTGTAAGGTGGGACACTCATTTATTTTCATTATTTCCTTTATTACCTGTTGTCTTATATACCCAAGGATTTCATATTTTTAATTTGTTTGAAGGCATTTAAATGTATAGCCTCTCACATAATGTAACAAGTTGCCTTTACTTCCCCAGAGCAGGCATGTCATCAGCCTGTGCGACTATTTAAACAATACTATCATATTCTAACATATATGTTCTAATCTACTTTTGCAGTTGTTCTCAGAACCAATTTCTAAGTCTTGCAAGAAAATCAGTTTCATTACTTGATAGTCTCAATTTTAATTTGTTCCGAATAGTTTTGATTCTTTCTAGAAATTCTTCAGTTCTGAAAGGATGAGAATTTCATGTGGATATTTATGTAGTTCTTTTTGTTTTTTTAAGATTTTAAAAAATTTATTCATTTTAGAGGAAAGAAAGCAACACAAGCAGTGGGGAGGGTCAGAGAGAGGAAGCAGACTCCCCGGTGAGCAGGGAGTTTGATGTGGGGTTTGATCCTAGGATCCCAGGACCCCAGGATCATGATCTGAGCCAAAGGCAGATGCTTAACTGACTGAGCCACCCAGGTGTCCCTTTAGATGTAGTTCTTAAAAGCCAACTCCCAAAAGGAATTTAAAGAATTATTTGGGTGATGCATAGCTCCCCATGGGGGCCATTTAAAAGAGAGCTCATTTGAATGTGTAAAATCTGGTGTGTGTGTGTGTGTTCTGATCTGCACACATACAGACATATATATATATGTGTGTGTGTGTGTATATATAGTTATAAAAAATTCCCTAGTTAGAGAGTATATCATAAATGTCAACTAATTACTACTGTATATCAGAAATTTCAATATTTTAAAACAGAAATTTATTCTTGGGATGAGGGAGACAGGAAAGAATTCTGGAAGGAAATGTATTCGAGTAGTCCATGGCATTTTGGCCTGGGAGATGGATAGCCATAGGATATAGCACAGCATTTCCTTGAATGCAATTGTATGTGGAAAGCAGCTGAGGTGAGTTGGGTGGTCAAATGTGTTGGGAAAATATTTGTCAGGGAAAAAAAAAAAAGATGTTTACATTTCCAACTCATTTGATAATGGCTCACCCTTATTTTCTCTATATAACCTCTGATAATACTCCCATTTCCCATGTAAATAAAACTGCTATTTAGGCTGATGATTATGATGATGGTAGCATCCCTCATATTTTTGTATGTGTGTGCTTTGAACAGTTTCTTGTTTTTTACTAAGTTTCACATCTACAAGTTGTATGATTATGGAAAATTATTTAAAATCTCGGAGCCAAGGGGCGCCTGGGTGGCTCAGTGGGTTAAGCCTCTGCCTTCGGCTCAGGTCATGATCCCAGGGTCCTGGGATCAAGCCCCGCATCGGGTTCTCTGCTCAGCAGGGAGCCTGCTTCCTCCTCTCTCTCTGCCTGCCTCTCTGCCTACTTGTGATCTCTGTCTGTCAAATAAATAAATAAAATCTTAAAAAATAATAATAAAATAAAATCAAATCTCGGAGCCTCAATCTCCTTTTTTGTAAAACGGAGATAGCATAACACCTCTGCTTAAGGTTGCCAAGAGGATTAAACAAGTCAGCCCCTGCAAAGTGCTTGGAACCATGCTCATTTGCTCAGTAATGGCATGATTTTGGCAATTCCCTAGGCCCGTGAGAAAGTATTGATATTTCCAACAGCGGCAACCTTTCCTTTTGGAAGTTTCCAGTTACAGGAATATGAAAGAGCACACAGTGCTATAAACAGAGGTATGTTTTTCTACGATGAACACTAAAGTCTCAGAACACCACGTGCATTACAGTAGCTTGTGTTTAGGGCACCAGGGGGGCTCAGTCGGTCGAGGTTCTGACTCTTGGTTTCAGGTCTGGTTGTGATCTCAGGGTCCTGGTTTTGGGATGGTCATGTGTGGGGCTCCATGATCAGTGGCAAGTCTGTTTGACATTCTTTCCCTCTTCCCCTGCCCTCACACATGTTCTCTCATTTGCTCTCTCAAATAAATAAATGTTTTAAAAAATTGGCTGCAAAATTAACTTTAAAAAAACCCAACCAAATGAAAAACCCAATAGTTTGTGTTTAGAGAGCCCTTCTAGATTTAAAAAAGTAGGCAGGGCCAAACAAAACAAAACAAAACAAAACAAAAAAAAACCACAATATATGTCTGTCCCCCAGAGGACAACTACCTTTTTGCTTCTGTGTTGTTTTTCATGGGTTAAAAAAAAAAAAAATACACAAACTCCTCATCTCTGGAGGACCAATTGTTATAGAAAAAAAAATTTATATGGGCATTATTCTTGGTATGCAAATGTAACACACTTGGGAATTATAAAAAGATGCCTCAAAACATATTATTGATCTGTGCATTATTGGTTTGTTTTTTTTTTAATTTTTTATTTATTTGTCAGAGAGAGAGGGAGAGAGAGCGAGCACAGGCAGACAGAATGGCATGCAGAGGCAGAGGGAGAAGCAGGCTCCCCGCCGAGCAAGGAGCCCGATGTGGGACTCGATCCCAGGACGCTAGGATCATGACCTGAGCCGAAGGCAGCTGCTTAACCAACTGAGCCACCCAGGCATCCCTGATCTGTGCATTATTAAGAAGATAGTTATTCTGGTTTCTTGAACTTACAAAGTTGTGAAGAATATGGTCTTTGTAATTTCGCTTTTGCATATGTTCAGAAAATTCCCTGAAGTTTCTTGGCAAGCATAGTCCTCACCTTCCAAAAAACCACACTTCATCACCTATGCAAACAGAAAGATTTGTTAGGTATTGGGACTCTTTTGTACCCAACTTTTATCAGGAAAAAACAAATAGAAAATGAGTATATATATATATGGTACGAATTCAAATGTACAACTCTATCATCTGTAGAACCTCTACTGTTATAGATCTGGAGATAAAATAAGATCACGGAGAAATGATTGTGAAAGCATTCTATAAATGCTGAAACATGAAAATATGTTTGTTAGTAGAAATGATAATAAATTGGTGTGTGGGCTATTCATACTGAGGTCTATAATTTTACTTATTTTATGTCTCCAAGGAGGGACCAATCCCAGTCAATATTTTCACCAACAGATACCAATAAGTCAATAAAACATAATGTTTATGTAAGTTAATATGTAATTATCTATAGTTACATATAATCATAGATAATTACATAACTTAAATACAGAATTCTAAAACATTTGCTATTTCTCCCTGACATAGAAATTAATTCAGTTCAGTTTAGTTATGACACACAGGGTTTTTAAAAAACATTTATAGGGTGCCTGGGTGGCTCAGTGGGTTAAGCCTCTGCCTTCGGCTCAGGTCATGATCTCAGGGTCCTGGAATCGAGGACCGCATTGGGCTCTCTGCTCAGCAGGGAGCCTGCTTCCCCCTCTCTTTCTGCCTCCCTCTCTGCCTACTTGTGATTTCTCTCTCTGTCAAATAAATAAATAAAATCTTTAAAAAAATAAATCATTTATAAAATAAATAAATAAAATAAATAAAATAAAATAAATCTTTAAAAAAATAAATAAAAACATTTATAAGCCACAGTTTTTAAATTTGGAAATTAGTGTACTTCTTATAATCAATATCCAAAAAATTGCTGGTTAGGTATCTTTTATACTGAAAAACTTTCATTAATTATGTCTTACAACTAATTCTGTTTCATAGTTAAGGAAGTAGAATATATTGTACTTCCATGTGTCTAGAGATTTTTTGTGGATATAAATGCCTATTACTTAATTAGCCTCCACCATCATCTATACATTTATTTATTTTTTGCTGTGAAGTATTTATGAATGCTTATTCTACCTTAGTCATTAAGTGCCATGCTGTAGAGGTCATAGACTTCTCTAATACTACATTTTGTTTTCAAAAGCCAAATTGTGAATGATGAACATGTGTCTTAGTAAAAAAATATATGGAAACAATGGTCTAATGCATCCATAGCATTCATGGACTAGCCTTGCTCCTCTGAATGAGAATCAGAAGATACAGCACTGAAATCACAAAAAGGAGTTCCAATTAAGAATAGAAAATTGTCTCAGATATGACTCATATTTAGGTTTTACACAAATTGACCTAACATGCCCTTTTCCCCCTTTATTTTAAATTTCATATAAAGAAGCAAAACCAAATTAGTATAATAATATTTTAAAGTATACTTTAAAAAGATCCTCAGTATTATGCCATCTTGAGTTTTTATGAAATTAGCTGCCTAACTATTTGAAATATTTTCATTTATTCCATTATCTCTACCTATAGAGATACACACATATATATATGCATTTAGAGGTGCAACACATGTGAGCCCAGTGTCCCAGCGTCTTTAGGTAGGTAAGAGTGGAATCTGACTTCATAATGAGAAAGAGGAGTGGCCAGTAATACCATGCTCATGAAACAAAAGATGTCCCAAGTATTCCCTAGCCACCTGAAGCTCTCTGCCACCACACTATCAGCTCTAGCTTTTCCTATATCCATTCTAGTACAGACTGTGCAATTCATTCATTTGTTGAGAAATAAGAATATCCTTATTTTGCACTTTCCATCCGTGATGTGGTAAATCCCTGGAATTTAGAGGTGAACCATGTTCTGCCTCAAGGTCAGCCTAATGGGGATACGGACAAATAATAACAAATAATATGTGGGATAGCAATAACAGAAAAACCATCGGAGCAGAGAAGAGGGCGGTCATTCTAACACAGCTTGGCCTAATAGGGAAGAGACAGGGTTTTGTCTTAAAAGAGCTAGTGTCTGGCCTGAGCGATAGCATATGAATAGGAATTAACCAAGTAGTTATGTTTGCATGTTTTTCCTGTTTGCTAGATCTCACATTCTGATATTTCAGATTTAGTCCTAGGCCTTCCTGCCTTATTTCTGCAGACTCCTCTGGAAGTAGTGTCATTGCCTCTTGGGGCCTTAGGGCCATGTCTGTGTTAATTATTTCCAAGTAGACTTCTGAGCTTAGTCGGGGAGGTTCAAGGTGGCAGTAGCACACACAAACTTTATTGGGCGCTGATAGGTTCCCCGGGAAAGTCTCAGCCAATAGGAGGCTGTCCACAGACAAGGGCCCAGGGCTGCTGCTCAGAAGCGGAGGAGGACAAAGGATCTCTTGCGGGGCCGGGGCGGGGCCAGGCCGGGTGTTGGCCAGAAGCTTCTGTGTGGGCAGTGTCACTGTGGTGGCTTGGCGACTCGACAGTCTTTGGGGTCAGAGAGCTCAGAAGGGGGGCCTGGGTTTGTAGTCTCCATGGCCCCAGGGCTTATCTAGTGCTAGGCCTAGATAGAGCTAGGATTGGGGTGGGATTTTGAGGGAAATAAGCAGGCTCTAAATGGCTATAAAAATCTGCTTGTTTGGCCTATTTTAAAAATAAATGGATGTGTAAAAATTTGATTTTGTCTCCGGCAGGCTTTTGAGAGAATGGTCCCAGCCTGCAGTGAGAAAAGAAATGACCTAGGGCCATCTTTGGCTCATTTATATGACATTATATGACAGCTTCACATCAATATAATCAAATGCTTATTTAACATCTACATTGGGGTGTCACGTAAGTATCATAAAATTGACCCGGTCAAGACAGAACTCCTCGTACTTCCACAGTTTTCAGTAAATGGAGCTATCATCCAGATTTGAGGCCAAAAGTTAAGAGTCGTACATGGTTCCTCTGTTTCCAATCTGATTAATCAAATTTTGTCATTTCTGCTTCCTAAGCATCTCTCATATTTAGTTCTCTACATCTCCATTGCCGACTCTCCAGTCTAAGCTGGATTACTCTAGTAATTAATTACTCTAGTAATTACTCTAATAAATAATTACTCTAGTAGAGGAAGTAAGCACTTGACTCTAGAGTGCTTAGATTCCTGTAATACTCTGCTAGGTTATCTTCTTATTTTACTGATGTCCCCTTTCCACGAATTCTCCACACAGCAACCAGGGTTATCTTTTGAAACATAGATCCTGTTTACGCTAGCTCTTTGTTTATATACCTTTTAGCAGTGTCCGGTTCACACTGAGAACATCCCGGTCTCAAAACCCTGCGTGACCTCACCTTCCTAGCTCTTCTCACACCACGCCCTCCCGTTCCTCACCAGTGTCCGCTTACAGACCCAGTGACTTGTGCATATTTGTTTTCACACCACAACCTCTGTACTGCTGTTCTTTCTGCAGGAAATGTGCTCCTCTCCCAGCAATTTGAATGGCTCTTTCCTTTTCTTCTTTTAGGTGTTGCTTAAATGATACTTCCTCAGCTAGGCCTTCTGTAGCTGTCACCCTGCCCTCCACCCACCCTCACTATCCGATCTCAAGCTCTCCATTTGTTTCTGGGGCTACGATGATCTCAATTATAAACTGAGATAGTATGTATTTTGTTTCTTGCTTCAAACCCTCTCTAGACTCTAGGTTTTTTTTTTCCCCCCCATTTTTAAAATTTAAATTCAACTAATTAACATAGAATGTATTATTGGTTTCAGAAGTAGAGGGCAGTGATTCATCAGTCTTATGTAATACTCAGTGCTCATTACATCACGAGCCTTCCTTAATGTCTATCACCCCGTAGACTCTAGACTTCATGAAAACAGAGACTTCATTTTGTTCACTGCTCCTTTTTGGTTTTTTGGTTTTTTGGTTTTTGTTTTTTTTTTTTTAATTGAGTTTCTAATATACTGCCTAGAACATAATAGAAACTAAATAAATATTTGTTAAATGAAATACTTTTCATACTTTCATAAAGAACAAATATGCAGGGAAAGGTGCAGTCAAGCGGAGAAGGATTTTTGTTCCTCTTTTTAAAAGAACTAAAGGTGTTAGTGTTAATTATTTATGTTACATAGTTCAGCATGGAAATTTTAATTCCTTTCTTGATGAGGTAAATGAATTCAAACAACTATGGGGGATATAAATAGACTTTAAATGAACAAGTTTGAAATCATTGAAGTAAATCACTTGTGATTCCTTAGCAAGGCTGGGGTATTCTGTTTTGTTTTTGTTTTGCTTTGGCTGAAGGTTATTAAAAAGTAGATTGTGATCAGCTCATCTCCAAATTTTTAAACCAAGAAAGGTAAAATACGAGTAATCTTCATTATTTGGTATGTACAAGGTATATGAAGGAACATTTTCTACCAGGAGTAAGAATGAAAGAAAAACTGCTCAAGAGGACATAACAAAATCTTAGAATTCTCACTTTCTGCCATGCCATTTTATATTTCCAATGCATCTATGGCTATACTCCCTTCTATCCTAAGGGATACTTATATATATGTACATATTCCCTTTTTCCCCTGGCTCAGTCTTAGTGAGAATTTATCCATTCTGCAATAGAAGTACACCTGCCTTAATTTGGAATTGGTCACAAAAATACTAATACAAAGAATATGAGTAGTGAGCATTTACTGAGTGTTTACTATGTGCCAGGCATTATTCTAAGGGCTTTACATGTTCTATCTTCAATCCAGTAAGAAGCCCTGTGAGTTAGGTATTAGTATTGTCTCCATTTTAAGAAAGAAAGCAAGGTTGCCAACCTGCCTGTGATCTCACTGTTAGGAAACAGTGGATGGGGCACTTGCAGTCAGGTTGTCTGGCTCACTGTCCTTGTCATCAGCTTTCATACTCTGTTGCTCAGGGCTGTAATGCTGTCCTGCTCTTTCTTTTTAGTGGGTGTACCTTCTATGGATGTATCCTAATGATATTAGGATTGTACTCATAGAGAAGAAACAGAAGGTTGCAGCAGTAAATAT